TTAGAAAGGAAAAAAATGCATCACATGTTGCCTAATAAATTACATTTCAATCTAATGTAAGTCAAACAATGTTATCTGCAATAGTAAAGATACTAAACAAAATATCTTGGTCAAAAAAATTACTTTCTGACCTCAAAATCAGTTTTTACTCTATATATTCTGAATATACCAGTTTCCAGCCTTGATAACCACCATGCCTGATCAGGTGGAGAAGTAGGTAAATACTGAAATTACCACCTAACATCTATCTTATCTCTAACCGGTGGTGTTGTTACAACACTCCCCATGTTACAACCATACCCGGTCTCCCCTACCAAAAGAAAGGGAGCTGGATTTTTCGACTTTGAAACAGCAGGTAGCCACTAAATAGCCAACACATTGCAGTGCGTTTACTGCTCGGTAATATGATGTCAAGAATTGAAAACCCAAGTAGCTTCATTCGCTGACAGTTTTCGAAATTCACCCACGACATTCATATTAACTGAGACAAATCTATCGCTTCAGTTATCATAAATTGAGGGTGACCATGATGATTTGTGTGTCCATTGGCTTCGTGATTACAAATGTTAATTTAATGTTAATTTCAAATTCGCAAGAGCTTAGCGATCTTAAAATGTCTAACAGACTTTGCTGTTGGCATTTCAGTGACATTTGTGTTTCCTTAAAAAGCTGATAAATACAATCCGACTGTAACTAAAACAAACATACGTTTGTTGTCTGCAGCCTGTGATGTTAATCGCAAAACCTACTGGAAACGTGAATGGATGCGTAAAACAAAACTTAGAATGTTAAGCTGCTTCAAGTTCATTCATGCCATCTACATGACAACAAACTTCATCCACTGATGAAGGCCAATAGAAGTGACCGAAAGCTCCGGAATAAATCTAGTATAGGCCTAGGTGGACCCTGAAATTTTATTTTTGATAAGACATGAAATGTGTAAGAAACGTCAGTGAACGTCAATGCTGCTCATCCTCCAGTAGAGGACAGCAACACTCCGCAGCTTCTCACTGCCTGCTGTAAAGCTTTGCTCTCTCTCTCTCTTTCAAATCAGCTTTTTGGGATGTATATTGATTTTACATTATTGTCAAAGCTTAATTATAACAAACAAAATTGACCATTAGGCCTACATGACATCCAAACTTTAAACAGTACAATCCTTTAGAACATAATATGGCTGCAACTATTATTTTCATCACTGATCAGTCTAAAACATGTCAGAAATAGTGCACAATGTCCAAGGTGATGTCTTCAGATGTCTTGTCTTCTCTTGTCTGATCAACAGTCCCAAACTCAGAGTTTACAATTGCAGAAAACTTCAAAAGCCAGTGAATATTCACAGTTGATAAGCTGGAACCAGTTAATTATTGGCATTATTACTTTGAAGAAACTACTTCAATGATTTGTGGATTATCAAAACTGATTCTCTCTCTCTCTCTCTCTGTCTCTATCTGTCTCTTCTTCAGCCCAGTCAAAAGGCTCCAGACATCACTGGCGGCAAAACAGAAATATCAATGAACAACAAGCCAGATATGCATTGTACTTCCAAAAGTCACTTTTATTGTGTGTGTGTGTGTGTGTGAGAGAGAGAGAGAGTGAGGGGAGGATGTATGTGAGTGCTTGTCGTGCCTTCTCATTTACAGCTCTGGCTTCTGTTCGAATGGTGGAATGTAGGAACATTCCCGAGAATGTGGACTGGGCCTTTAGTGTATGCGTGTGGTGTGTCCATGTTCTTTTGGTGTTTATGTGTGTGTGTGTGTGTGTGTGGAAATATGCTGGCAGTGGAAACTTTAATTCAGTGTGTGTTTTGGCTGAAGGTTTGAACACATGGGAGTGTTCACTGTGCAGCACTGGAAATACATGAAAACCTTCTTTCCTTTTCAATTTGGAGGCTTATAAACATTTTCACACAAAAACACAGGAGTCAGGAGCTGGTCACGTCTAACTCTGTATGCCTCTCTTTCATTTCCACACTCTTTGCAACACCCTCATCTTGTTGCTCATCTTGCCCTCTGAAGTCCTCCTTTGCTCTTTCAACTTCTCCCTTTGTCTCTCCAGGTGTCCCCCTCCCTCCTTTGTATACTGCAATCATAATCATCAGAAGCCATTCTGCCCTGTCATCCTGAGCAGATGGGAGTTAAGTGTCTCTGAAGGCAGGGAGCTGCTAATCCCATCCACTCAGTCGGACACAGGGGCCGCCAGACAGTCACCACCAGCAACAGCACCAGCACCACCAGGAGAGGGAACTGGGCTCTCACTGCAGCCTAACTGGCTTCAAAGTTCCACTGTCTGTACTGCCAATTTGCGTGCAGTGGCCTTTCACAGCTCCAGTCAGCCACAGTACAGAACAAATTTTGTGCAGCAGACTTGTGGTGAAGAAAAAGAGGGTACAGCTTGACCTCCTGTTGGCTATCACCAAAGGAAATATCACCCTGAGGTCACCTGGAAAATGTATTAGGAAAATATTAGGCCTTTCCTGTGGAAATCCTTACATGACTTTTTCTCTTAAACCTCTTTTTCATAATGTAATTTTGGTGCCAGTGCTTAATTCAACTACAGTGGGAAAAACAAGTTTATGACAAAACAGAACTAAAAAATAAAAAAATAAAAAGAATTAAAAAAAAATCAAACTGGGACGGACGAATGTCTTTGTCTCCATTCAGTTGAAAACAGCTGTCTTGGCTGCCAAGATCTCCTCGGAGAACCGGGGAGATCGTAGCTGCGACCGCCCCGCTTCCCGGCACCAACAGACGGTCATGGGACTGCGAGGCCCGCCGCCAGCTGGCCGGAGAGAGCATCTTTGATGTGTGACGCACCGGGGAGACTCACGCACCAAGCAGACTCTCACACACAAACTGGAGGACATAAAAAAACAATGTCGCATTCCACTGCAATGTGAACTTATTTTTAACTTTCTGTTGTTTCTGGTGGGAAACATAGTGACTTTTGAAATGGACATGTTTCTATATCCATTAAAACCCCTTTGCAATAACTTTTGGCCGTGTCATGACAGGAATATTGGCACCATATGATATTAAAACTAACTAGCCCCATGAGGCACAGACATCCAAATCCCTAATTATTCCATTATGCAACATTGAAAAACACTATAAAACAATCAGGCCTGTCAGCTCTGACTGTCTGAATACTCTACTCTGGAATTCATTTTTCCCCATAAGGGTAGGTCTAACTATGTGTTTTAATCCCTGTTATTATCTGAACTATGGATGTTGCTTTGCCAATCAACTCACTGAACTGGTGTAGGAGCATGTGGATGTATCAGGTGCATCTTATGTGTGAGCTCAAATTTACTCGGGCTTTAGGACCGCGGGATGAGAGGCAAAGTCTGCGCACCTCAACCGTGCAAAAGTTGAGGGTTTGTCTCGAACCTGTCTTGTCTGTCACTCGTGTCCCAGGTCTGGTGCTCCATGGATGCAGCGCCATACTTCAGAAGAATGACGGGCGGTTTATTTCTTTTTCTACTTTTTGGATAAGTAGAGTCTCATCCCTTTGGTGAAATGCAATCGACTTCAAAGTTGAGTCACGGCACAAAAATGGGGACTTCAAGACATCGCTGGGCAAACTTCTGAGCGCCATACCTCCCCCCCCCCCCCGTCTCCTCTGCGTCCTTCACCATGAGGTTGTGGGGCAGAGCTACAGCTGTCCGGAGGAGGATGCTCTGCCTCTGGCTACTGCTCCTCGGGTTCGCCCTGGTTACTCTGGTGCTCTCGGACCTCTTTAATCGGGACCGGGACCACAGTCATCAGAAACCTAGCCCTCCCCGCCGCCCACTCCAGCGCATCCCTAGTGCACCGGACCTGGAGGTCATCGTGGACTCCCGGGATCCTGCATTAGAGCTCGGTGTTGATATCGCACCGCTAAAATCTCTGCAAGAAGACCAGCTGTTGTTCGTGCCATCGACGCAGGGCACCAAGAATCCTCCCCAGAAGAAGGGGAGTTACAAGGTGCTTCTGCCTGGAGCAAACAAAGATACCCGCGCCACCATGCCTCCGACGCACGGTGAAATGGGGAAAGCAGTGCGGCTACACCTGGAGGGTATTGAGAGGGATAGGGAGCTTTCTGCGGTGCAGAAATACGGTTTCAACGAGCTGGTCAGCGAGAGGATTTCACTGCATCGCAGGCTGCCTGAGGCGCGCCACCCTGAGTGAGTGCCCTGCGCAGTGGCCAAAGCGCAGGACTGAAAAGATAAACAAAAACCTTTGCGCTAATATGACCCCACTTTATTATGAAAAAGCGCTCAAAGTTAATGAAGTTGTAGCTTTGATAGTGTGAACGTGTGTGAATGTGTTTCCCACTTAACAGGTGTTTGAGGGAGCAGTACAGCGAGTCGCTACCATCAGCCAGCGTTGTTATCTGTTTCCACGATGAGGCTTGGTCCACGCTCCTGCGCACCGTGCACAGCGTGCTGGATACTGCACCCAAACACTATCTGCAGGAGGTTCTGCTGGTGGACGACCTGAGCCAGCACGGTGAGTTCCTCTATATGTCCAAATCCATCCATCCATCCATCCATCCACTTGACCTGTGCTGACAACATGTCACTGTATTTGTTTTTGTGTTTGTTTATGTTCACTTATCAGGTCACTTGAAGAGTGTGTTAAGTGAGTATGTGTCTCATCTGGAAGGGGTGCGTTTGATTCGCAGTACCAGGCGCTTGGGCGTTGGAGGGTGCCGTACTCTGGGTGCTGCCAGAGCTGAAGGGGAGGTGCTGGTGTTCATTGACTCCCACTGTGAATGTCAAAAGGGCTGGCTGGAACCACTGCTGGAGAGAGTAGCACAGGACAGGTACTGTTATCTCTAATCATCTACAAAAAATAATTAACAGCTGTGCAAAAATATAAAAAGGAAGATTTTTGTAATGAAAAATAATTAAGATCTAGATAAACATTTGGTCCCTTTCCCAGTGGTGCCCAAACTGTCTGCCTAGTTCTCTATTGTGTTCTGCTGTTTGAGAGACCCACTTGAAAGAAGTGAGAAGATAGAGGGTTCAGAGTTGTGAGTTGTCCTTACTAATTAGTAAGGCAGGGGGATACATGTGCTGTTTGTGTAACCAAAGCTCAGCTCCCATGATTTGGCTCTGGTCTTGTGTCTCAGGCTGCCTGCAGTGTGGCTCTAATTAGACTAGGTAATTAGGCTGAACTCCCAGACCTGGAATCTGCAACCACTCAACTCTCTCAGCCACATGTTTGACCCTTCTCCCATTTCTTGCTCTCTTTCTTCCCCCTTTAATCTCTTCATTCCATTTCCTTTGAGCATCACGTCACACGTGGCCTCTTGGTAGAAATATTTCAAATAACACATGTGAACCAGAACAGACCCCAACAAAGGACAGTGCGTGTTTCTAAACTTGGCCTCTTTGACATGAGCGTAAAACACACTGACATAGACATGTGCAATTACAAACACACACACATGCATATACACACTGTACATATACACTGATGAGGGAAGATTTTGCCTTTTCTCACTACAATTCTCACTGGACACAGACTTTGAATAATAAGTGAAAATGTAACCAAGGAAGATGGGTCAAGAATTTTAAATGTCCTCATTCTTCCAAATCTTTTCTGACAGAATCATAATTCTCATTCACAACACCAGCCTCATTTTGAACCACCCTACTTGATGAAAGTCAATGAAATCTGAATAATAAAATGATGAATGTGGTGTCTCTGTGCAGGACTAGAGTGTTGTCCCCCATCATGGATGTGATAGACTGGCAGACCTTTCAGTACAATGCCACCCAGTGGCCAGTTAGGGGAGTGTTCGACTGGAGACTTGACTTTTATTGGGAATCTAACCCTCAGCTGCAAGATAAGAACCCAGACTCAGCTGTTCAGCCTGTAAGGTGAGTTCACAGTTGTTGTCAGTTGGGCTTTCATCGCTATATGCCTAAAAAGTTGAGTTTTACCAATGTTGAGTGCCGCCTAAGAGGAAGGGTACAGATGTTTAAGGGTACAGATTACAGATATACAGATATTCTGCATCTTGAAAAATGCGGAAAATGAGAGCGATGTATGAACAACATTTTTGCAAAACAACACATAGTTTGATTTCTTTCCACAAGGCCAGGGGTTATCAGTCTGAGACTGTGGAAGCTTGGGAAACGTTTACTTGCTTCAATTCACTCAATTAGTGGATGCCATGCTTATGTTATGTGATCACATTGACGCTCGACAATTGAGCCAAGAGCATAATATTACAGTTTGTAATATAAGGCATTTATTAGTTTCTGACTCTGGGGAAGTAGGAAAAACATTAAAATTCCTCACAACTACTGTATCTCTAAAAACACACATTTAATAACTAATAATAATAATAGTCATATAATGTTTTTTCGCTTTCTTTGACTGAGCCTCACCTGAAACAACTTGGAGCCCCTCAGGGTGGGGGGAGCTGCCTCCCACTTTGAAAATTCCTTATCTAAGTTAATGGTTCCCACTGTGAGGGCTGGGACGTCTTATATACAGTCTATGGTTGGGACTCCCAAAATGGATTGCAAGATGTACCTGAAAATACACAAGATGATAAACAAGTTAGAAAAGAAAAGAAAAAAAAACTATATATCTTAACAAGATAAAACTAGAACTGCAATTTATTGTTCACGGGCCCCCAAGCCATGGCGGGGCCCGTGGACAAAAAAATTGTAGTTCTAGTTTTGTGCGGATTTTTGCGCCTGAGTTACTTGCAGGGGTTTGTACCTACCCTGTGAGTTTCGCGAGGTCCATTTTTTTCTGACATTTCCTCTTATCTTTGCAATTTTCTTTCTTGTGAAGTAGTGTACTGTGTCTATAAAAATGTTCTGATAAAAACAAAAGGAGGTGAAAATCACTCTGCTCATAGCGCATAAAATATTTAACCTTTGAAAAGAAGTCACGTGCTAACTTTGACTTGTTTTAAAGAATCACAAACCAGAAAGGTAAGAAACCATTCAGAATCAGACTCAGAATCAGAATTACTTCCTCTTTCATGGCGAATCATCGATATTAAATGCCGTTCCACGAAAACTCACCGTTTGTACAACTTTTAATCATCAACGGGTTTAGAGTAGACAGCGACAACCTGGAGCCTGTAAATCATCCAGAAATGACCATAAAATTCAAAATGGCTGACTTCCTGTTGGGTTTAGGGCATCGCTCCAAGAGGCTTGTTGGTACATGATCCATGTGCCACAGAAATGTCATACATGTAGGTGAAACGTGCCACGGGGGCTGCGCTATGAATTTGAGTGAATATTGGCATGTGGATGTGTTCAGGGCGGGACTATTGTTACACTTATTAAATTTGGTGATTATGTGTACTGAAGTTATAACAACTTCTTGTTTCATGACGAATCACCAAGTTTCGATGACACGCTACGGGTAAACTGGTCTAACCGTTTGAATAACTTTTAATCGTCAATGGGTTTAGAGTGCGCAGCGAAAATTTGAAGTTGATCCCTAGGAGGAGTTTGTTAAAATACAAAGTGTGTAAATCGCAAAAAATGACCATTTAATCCAAAATGGCAGACTTCCTGTTGTTGTTTAGGGCATCACTCCAAGAGGATTTTTGGTACGTCTGGACATGAAAACTGTGCCACAGAAATGTCATACATGTAGGTGAAACGTGCCACTGGGGCTGTTTTGTTAAAGGTCATATCCTCTTCCCAGCAGGTGGTGCTATGACTCTGGGTGAATGTCTGCATGTACATGTGTTCTGGGCAGGACTATTATTAAACATGTAAAATTTGGTACAGATCTGAGCTTATACAGTCAAGTTACAACAACTTTCTGTGTCATGGCGAAGCACCGCCATACCACTGCCACGCCGTTTACCGAAAACTCACAAGTTTTACATCACAGCCTCATCAATGTGTTAAGGGTTTTCTGGAACAGTTTTGAAGTTGATACATCCAACCTGCTAGGAGTAGCACATTACAGTGGAAAATATGCCATTTCCTGTTGCCAGCAGGTGGCGCTATGACTTTGAGTGAATATTGGCATGTGGATGTGTTCAGGGTGGGACTATTGTTACACTCAAATCAACTTCCTGTTTCATGGCGAATCACCAAGTTTCGATGAAACGCTACGGGTAAACTGGTCGACTTGTAATAACCGTTTGAATTTTCTCCGTTTTTAGAAGGAGTTCGTTAAAGTAAAAAGTGTGTAAATCGTCAAAAATGACCATTAAATCCAAAATGGCGGGCTTCTTGTTGGGTTTAGGCAATGGCTCCAAGAGGCTTTTTGGTACGTCTGGACATGATACATGTACCACAGGATTTTCATACATGTAGGTGAAACGTGCCACGGGGGCTGCTCTGTAGGGGGCCCACGCGCGAATCCCATAAAATACAACATTTTTCACCGCGTCTGAATTATGTGCAAAGTTTGGTGAGTTTCTGAGTATGTTTAGGCCCCCAAAATTGAGGTTACTTTGCAGAAAAAGAAAATCCCTTCAGTTCCAATAGGGACCTCGCACGGCTCGTGCTCTGGCCCTAAATACTTTATTTTATTAATACTTTAGTCATTGCTCTGGGCTGTGATCTGTTTGCCCTTGCTAACTAGGTCTATAATACTCTTAAGTTTGTAATGTCTCTCTGCTCAAGTGACACGAAGGCAAATTCCTGTGTTTGTACTCGGCCAGTAAAGTGATGTTGATTCTGTCTGTGACAGGAGCCCAGCTTTAGGAGGCGGAGTTGTGGCCATCGACAGACACTTTTTCCAGAGCGTGGGAGCCTACGACCCGGGGATGCTGCTGTGGGGGGAGGAACAAATTGAGCTGTCAATCAGGGTAATGCATCAAAAAAAAAAACAATTTAGTATTAACTTTCCATCCAAATCTTTCAGTGTACCTGCTCACACAGGACAGAGATATGACAGATTGTTTTAGTTTTTCATCTTAAGTCACATATAACAAGCTCTTTTTTAGCAATACTTTGGCTGAGTGTTTCAGTTGCTTTTTGTCAGTGCGTCAGGAATGTTGTGCTGGGATATGATGCTTTTTGCAAATGGAAATCTCAGGTTGAGTAGTGGTCTGGGAATGTCTGGGCCAATTGACAAATGCACAAGCATGAGAGGAAAATGTTTTTTCACTACTTGTTTACCTATGATGACCATTCAAATTCATTATGCGGAATTGTAGCATGTTCTGTGAAAGATAAAAATGCAGTTTGTAGAAATAAAACCAATTGGCAACTTGTCTAACAAAAGATAATTTGTGCACCAATATTTCTTGTCATACTTTATTATGATATTGTTTAAAAGAGAATCAAAATCCTTGATTAAGTTTTTTTTTGTCATCAGGTTCTTTACAGTAAAAGGCACACAAAAGCAAATCCTACAGGGTTATGAACCTGTTTTTACCACTTTCGTTATCCTAGGTGTGGTCATGCGGGGGCTCCATGGAGGTGGTTCCCTGCTCCCGTGTGGCCCACCTTGACCGCCACCACCCGCCTTACCGCTTCCCAGACCAGGAGCTGCTTCAGAGGAATAAGATCCGGATCGCAGACACGTGGATGGATGCATACAAGAAGATCTTCTATCGGAGAGACACTCTTGCTCATTTCATCAGGCAGGTGTGTATGTTTGAAGAACATACACACCTGCCTAAAGAGATTGGTTGGTGAGTGTACCGAAATACCGAAATAAAAAATGTAAGGACATTATTATTCCTTCTTTTGTGCAGTCTGAGAGCCCTAACATCACAGAGCGTCTGCGGCTTAAGAGGAGTCTGGGCTGCAGGAACTTCCACTGGTACCTGACTACAGTTTATCCACAACTTTACATCCCCCAGGACAGACCTGCACTGTCAGGCGAGGTAGCACACACACGCACACACACACAAGATTTATACTACTCATCATTGAACACTACAGCCTGATGTTACCCCATTTGTTTGAAGCTGTACAATGTCGGCACTGGCAGCTGTGCAGACTACCCCCGAGGGCATGGACTGCAGGGTGGGGCCATGAACGTAGCACCATGCAGTGGGACGGGCAGCCAGGTAACCACCACAACAGTTGTGAAAATCGAAGAAAGACAGCTAACACACAGTGGCAAAGATGATCTCTCTTGTCATCGCAGCACTGCGATCTAAACTCTGAGTTGGAAGTGCGATGGGGTCCCATGGGGGCTTTGTGTTTGGACGCCATGGGAGAGAGGGTGGTTTTATCTCCGTGTCCCCCACACCGACCAACGACCAGCAGACTCCAGTGGAAGTTCATAAAGGCAAGGCAGAGAATGAAACTTTAAAAAACAACAACCAGATGTACATGGTCACAGTGGGCGTTTGGCTAACTCAGTGCATCTGCTTTCTGCTTCAGCTGAGCGGTCAACTTGTTCACCAACAGTCCCAGTTATGTCTGGAGGCTGTCAAAGAAGGAGGGCTTCCACAAAGCAGCCCAAGAGAAGTCAGCACCAACACAGGAGGTCTCTTCCTGCGCCCCTGCACCCATCATCCCAAACAACAGTGGCACTTTGAGCAGTTAGTAGCTCCTAAAGGTGCCTGATACAGAAAGCACAAAGAGATGGATGGATTTGCAAGGTGTCAATCCTAGGCACATATTATCATATATGTACTATGCATAGTGGCATACAGTAGTAATAGTTTTTTGGCTCCACTTTGCCACTCGGCTTTTTTGTTCCTGTTTTAAGGATTGCAAATAGAATTTATTGTGTTAAATAATAAGTTACATGGTATAATTATGTTGAAACAAAGTCTTTATTTAAAACTGCTTTCTAATATCCACAACTATTCTGTATTTATGTACATGTATCATATCAAGTGTGAAAACATGTTGAGAAAAATTATGATCTTTTATTTCAGTAAATGCTTTTATTAATTCATTTGTTAATGTTTTTGTACACATTTCTGAAAGATCAAAGCATTAAGCAGACAGAATCTCATCAAAAAACAATACATCTCTATGAACTGGCCCCATGGAGCATGCATTGTATGGAGATTGTGAAGGACAGTTGGGTAGTATCAAGTACCAAAAATCTGTATGTATGTTATCCCTACAGTTATTTGTCATTTACCCAAATTTTCCTTTGACCTATAGTATTAGTAGTATTTTAGTCTATTAAACAGATTTTGTTCTGGAACAAAAATGTAACCCCTACAACACCCTTCCTCTCTCTTTATCTCAAAGTAAAGTTAGTATTTAGGTAAAACATGGTCAAATTTGCACTGAAATGTAACTGCCTATAGTCGACAGGCCTCCAGTTAATCAAGCTTGATCTGTGAATACAAACGAGAGGACAGTTATTATTTAAAGGACCAAAATGTGGACTTTTGTGTTCTCTTGAGTAGGGCCTTTTTTCATAGTGTGGGCTGCAATTAAGGGCATAAACAATTAAGCAATTACATGTAAAGGAAATTTCAATGCATTCAAGACCAGAGTATACTTCCAAAGTAAAAAATAGGTCCGTTAAAATGTACTCTAGGTAGGCCTAAATAAAAAAAAATTACAGCAGAAATAATGTAAATAAAACATCACCAAAGCAGACAGCACAGAGATGTATAGATAATATAAACTCTGCAGCAGCTGATCACACATATATAAATGAAGGAGAAGCTGCAGTTTTTCAACACCCTGCAGTGCACACATGTTGTGTTGCTAGGCAACTCAGTGGTTGGTGAAGCTCTGGTCTGTGTGTTATAACAATTAAAGAGTTTGTTACTCACCTGTCTGAAAGTCATTCTGTCCCACTATAACCAGTCCACACATCCTCTGTTCCACTATAACCAGTCCACACAGCCTCTGTCCCACTATAACCAGTCCACTCAGCCTCTCTGTCCCATTATAACCAGTCCATTCTGTCTCTCTGTTCCAATATAACCAGTATAACCAGTCCATTCGGCCTCTCTGTCCCATTATAACCAGTCCACTCTACCTCTCTGTTCCACTATAACCAGTCCCACTGAACTCCTCAAGTTTTCAAAAAACTTTTCACTTGAATGACGGTCGCAACCGTGTCCTGGATTATTGTCACAAACAGCAGAATGGCCTCACTGAAGGTGCCTCACTGTCCACTTAGCCTCTCTGTCCCATTATAACCAGTCCACTCAGCCTCTCTGTCCCATTATAACCAGTCCACTTGGCCTCTCTGTAGCATTATAACCAGTCCACTCTACCTCTCTGTTCCACTATAACCAGTTCCACTGAACTCCTCAAGTTTAAAAATTTTTTTCACCTGAATGACAGTCACAACTGTGTCCTGGATTACTGTCACAAACAGAAGAATGGCCTCACTGAAAGTTCCTCAGTTAACTGAAATCACCTGGAGGATCTACCATGCTCATGTTAGCATTTAGCATGTTAGCCAGACCTTGGTGGGGGAAAAAATAACATTGAGGTGATTTACAGAGTATACTAATTGATAGAAAGCTTCACTTTTGCTAAAATAATTGCTAACTGTAACTGCCATTAGCTTGGTTAGCAGTGCAGCGAGCGGTAGTGTTAGCTGACTCAGCGACATGGTGACAGGAGCCAAACCCATCAAGAAAACCACCTCAGTACTGTATTGCCTGTCATCAAACTGGTGAACACGGCCAATGAACTCACACATTCATGTGTCTGTTGCAGAATGTCACCTCTCTGGACGTGGAGCCCAATGGAATCAGAAAAAAAATGTGAATCTCACATAACATCTCAATAAAAAATAAGAATTTATGCATCCCCATTGGCTAGTGAGTGTTTGAGTGACAACACAGTGCTCTGGACTTTGTTCAGTGCTGCAAGCGTGAGTTTTGGTTTTGACTAACTGTTAAACACCATCATTTTCACTGGAAATTGGATTGATACAAGATTAATACAGTGTAAGTACTGATCATATGTTGTCTGAACTGTACTACTATCTGTTTTGTTATGTTAGAAGTAAACCTAAGCCTTGTTATGTAAGTTAGCTTTTCCCTAACTAATAACATTAGCTAACTTGTTATCTATAACGATTGCTAGCTAAGAAACATTAGCCTGTGTGTGTGTGTGTGTGTGTGTGTGGCCAACTTGTACTTCCTACATAGTGAGGACCAGAACAAGATTTTAACCAACAGAGTGAGGACGTTTTTGGAAAGTGAAGACATTTTGGCCAGTAATCACAACTTCAAAGGGCTGAAGGTTAAGACTTGGTTTTAAGGGTTAGGGTAGAATTAGCTTTAGGTTAGGGGTAGGGTTAGGGTTGGTATTTTAGCTGTGATGGTTAAGGTTACAGTAAGGGTCCAGGGAACACATTATGTTAATAAGGGTCTTCACAACTATGGAAGTACAAGGATGTGTGTGTGTGTGTGTGTGTGTCTGTGTGTGTGCGTGTGTGTAAACAGATGTGTGGAAGTGTATGGGAAACCAGCTATAATTGTTCTATGTAGAACAATGTAACACTGTGGGACCTGCAGACCTGAAGAGACCTACAATGCAGTCCCAGGTAATCCATTATATGGTCCATTATAACAGTTGATGATACAGCCAAGACATCACTAATATCACTAACACTGTAAGTTTACATACTATATACATTTACATATTTATTTACATTTTTATCTACATATTATCAAAAAAAAAAGACCAATAGTTTGTTTGCAAGTTTTACGTTTTACTTGATGACATTTTGTCTTCAGTTAGTTTTATTCTCTCTCAAATTCAAATTATTATATTTTTGACAATTAAGATCCTGTGTTTGGCTAAAATGGCACAAATCTGATTCCATCGGGCTCCACCCTCATGCAGCCGCAGGAACACCAGGTCCTCCTCTGCTGCAGCTGCTGATTTGGCTCCTTTCTTCTTCTCCACTCTCACACGGTTTATCCACTGTACAGGACTTTTTCATGTGACTTTTGTTTTCACTCTAAAATATAAAATACAATAAATATAAATAGAAGTAAAATCACGTCTTTTTAAAAGTATTCCAAAGTACACAAAAACCAGTATAATTTGTTACTTCCACCCATTCTTGTGGCCATAGTTCTGTATGAGGTACTGCATGATATGTAGCTGATTAAAGGCCCTGCAAATCTAGGTGTTTTCATTTTTTTCCGATTAGACAGTATTCATTCACATTTTGACACAGGTGTTACTGCAGTAACAATAGCTTTGTTATCTTTAAGTGTCCCAGTAAGCCATGACAGCGAGGCAGCCTGCACTGTACCAGGACCCTGAAACAGAAGCCGCCAAATCAGCCATCATAAATTTCATTATTTACAGTGCTATTCCCACTGTAGCATGTCAAAATGTTCTCTGTGAAAACCTTAGGTGCAACAAAACCAACAGGAGATTGAGAGAGATGTCAATCAAGTGGTCTGCACACACCCACACAGTCCCGAGAAGAGGTCTAAAAAACACAACTGTGTGAGATCAGTGTCATTGACTACCTCCCCTAAATGTTGAATTTTAAAATGTAAAATTCTTTCTTAATATTTTTGGGATCTTTGCACTCTCACTTTATTTGTCTGAACATGCGCTGTGTATTACCAAAATAGTATTAGCAGCTTTCAGCAGCAGAGGGAGCCATCTGTCTTTAGAATTTTTTCTAAAGCCCCAGCTGATCTTGTTGTTATTGTTATACATGAATAACATTCTCACATGATTTACTTATAAGAATTCCCATAAAGATGTTCTCATGTAAACTTTCTGTGATTGGAGCTGATATAATTATGCTATACATTAGGCCTACCATATGACAGTAATGTGCTGATGTGCATGTGACTGAAGGGAATGCCTGTGGTCTATAATGGGCAAATCTCTGATAAACATCCACACAACAGTGTCATGTGTTTTTGTGTCCAAGTATTTATTGTGACTCATAGCCCAATCATAGTGAAGGTGATATTCAAGCCAAACAGCCCAAGGTTAGGATAGCAACTGAATAATGCCTATACTATGTCACAGTAATGCTCTTTATAACCTATGCTGCACTTAAGTACAGTCAAGTACACAACACCCTTTCAATAAAAAACAGTCATATGGTATGTCTGCAGCTTTGAGGCATAGGTCAAACACTTGGTCAAACAGCATGTTGTTGGCTAGTCTTCTTACATAACTATAGGCTACTGAGCTGTTGTAAAAGAAGAGCAATATCTCTCTGTTTTGGGTCTTCAGAGGATGGCAAGAGGTCACAGACTCGTAGTATGGCTAGTTTCACTGTGAAGCAAGCCACGTGTGCCCAGAAGGTCAAATATTGCAGGACATGCTGTAGGTACTACAGGAAAAGCAAAGCCAGTGACAGGTCTGACAGTTTAACCTTAATGTTCTGTTTAGGTTTCAGGAGACCACTCAACAGCCATAAATTTACATAGCATTGTTTTATTACCTTGATACTTAATGACTTTTACTAATTTATGATAAGTGTTCATAGGCATGATTTTAACTGATGTTTCAGGAGTGAGCTACAAACAGCAAATGGCACATCATTTCTGTTTGTAAGCTGTACATCATGGTTAAATGAAATGGATTGTGATATTTTTCTGTATCTGTGATTGGAGATGACACTACTTTTAAGAACTATCTTCCCAAATCATGAATTAGTATTTTTAGAGATTTTGTAGATTTATAATAACAAACAGGTCTCCCAGGGGGTTAAACCTTGTTGGGGTCTTACTGACCCCCAAAATAAGAAACTTCACAATGAAGTTAAAACACTGCAGTTACATTATATGGACTTTGTTAGTGAATTACTTTTTGGCAAATAAAAGGAACATATATTTGTTGATGCCCATATTAACATTTACAACACAAAATGTTTCCCTATTTAAATATAACAACAATGCAGTAATGAGTTCTGTATTTTGTGAGATCAGATGTGCAAGCTCAGTTTGTTACAAAGCAAAGGGTTACCACTTCAATGCTTTTCTGCATTATGGATTTTGATTTTTGAGTTCATAATAAAAGAAAAAAGGGAAAAACAAACAAAAATGTCAAACAATTTTTTATTTGTTCTGACTAGTCCATGATTTGTGCATCAAACCTGTCCCACCAATGTTATCCTGATTCCACAAAGACCTGTGAAAAAGAAGTGAAAGTGAAAAAGGACCAGAGATTAACAATTAACAACCTCTGACACCATTGTTGACCATGAAAATTCCGGTTACTGCGTGTTATGACATAAATCCTACAGCTTTTCTGATGTCACTTACACATTGCAGATAATTGTAAGATGTGTGAAAATGTCCCAGTAGAGGATTTGGTAGGTCACAGAAGGCAATCACTGTAATTTATTGAGGTCTCTGTTAAGTCTCCCAGCAATAACTAGTGAAGCATGCTGGTAAAGCTACCCCTTTATGCTTGTTCAACAGAGAATACAGTATGTTTAATAGTCATAATATCGCAATATCGCACTGAAGGAGTTGTCATCAAGCACTTACAGTATTTAATGGCAGCCAATAAATTCCATTGAAGACAATCATGCATTTAAGACTTTTTGACAAATTTCATATTAAATGGGAGAAAACTGGGATCTGGGAGAACACAGGGAGAAATAAAAAGCAAACTTGTGTTGTCCAAACTTTAACAGTTGTCAATCTCTCCACCCCATTTTATTGCAAATATCTCCTGTCTGCATTCAAATACTCCTACTGTATTCCTTCTCTGTTACTCTGTTACTCCTCTCCCATCACCAGCATCTTCCTTTTCTTCTCCATGCTGAGGTGAGTGTGAAAATTACAGTGAACACCCACATCAAACGCTACGGGC